CAGAAAAAATAGTTTGCAGGAAAGTGACAGAAGAATATCTGGTTCAAAAACAATGTTTAAATGGAAACTACATTAAAGTTAAGTGGAATAACAATTTTTGCTTAGGAAACAACCTAAGAGTTTTTCTTATTAAATCAACGGTTATAGGAGGTTAGTTGTCAAATTCTACTACCTTAGATCACAAGTAATTCAGGGGCCTCATTTAAAATTGTTAGTATTATGCAAGCATAGGCTCATTATTACTTGATTTTGCAATACAGCCAAATAGGTGGCACCTAACATTCACTAGTAAAATATTAAACACAAAGCAGTACACTATGTCAGGTTTGGAAAACTGTCTACTCTGGTTTTCTAAATAGAGTAAACCTGCCAAATATACACTTCCTTGTCAGGCAACCTCCCCTTCTTTAAGGGACAACCAAAAATACCCACAAGCATTGAATACAATTCTGTTCCTCCTTTATAAGGCCATTTTGGAAAGCAACCTTTGTTAAGGAACTGACTGACAGACCTCACTTGAGTGGTAAAGACAACTTCTATTGCAGAAGCAAGATGTTTTTCATAAAGATAAGAATACAGGTGAACAACTATTAAGCACTGCACTGCCAGATTTACTTTCCTCACTAGATAACATCAAGAGAACCAGCAAAACAAAAATGTTGATCCTGTACGCCAATATAAAGGATATTGCAGTACTATAAGGTGGTGTCCAAACTAGGAGCAGAAACATGCTAACTTTATATACACATAAGTGTTATCAAAGGATGCTAGAAGAGTTTCCCTGACAGTGGAAACAGATAGTGTGCGACAGCTGTGTAAAGAACATTTTTCGAAGCTGTGCTAAAGAGTATCTAGAAAGCAGTCTTAAAATTGCAGAATTGTTTTGTCAGCACAATTCTCAGGGAAAAAAAAATCTGTCCACAACAAGTCAGGAATTGCGTGTTAGAACCCTGCAGGCAACAACTGTATTCAGAGCTCTAACTAGCACAGTTCTTCTCCCAGGTTAGACAGGACCGAAGAGAACAGCAGTTTCTCACACCAGCCGCAGTTCTATAACAGACATGCATTAATTTACACAGAAAGAGTATGTTTGCCTAATATGTTGGTATTATTCAATAACAGTTCATCATTTTGAAATACCATGCCATTGTAATACCGACAAATAGTCCTGTTAGTTTAGATAAATGCTGATTTTACATGAACTAATGTTTGGAAAAATCTAATGTTTGCATTCAGCTATTTCAACTGATTTTGGGGGGGAGTAATATATTTTGCAAACCAAATGTGCTTTGGTTTTAATTTTTTGCTCATTTTTATGGCCCCTTTTTAATTTATGCACCTACCTAAATGCAGAAAAAGAATTATATTCCATGAGAGAGGCCTCAGTACTGATGAACACTAATATTAGGAAGGTTACTCAAGAAAAGCTCATTGTACTCTTTCCTCATTTCATACTTGGCAAAATAAGGAAAAAAGTTGAATATGGTTCTAAGAAAATAGTCTAACACTGGCAAACATTCTAATAAATAAAAAACTCTTCCGAAGTGTTTTTAGCCAGAAACGTCCTCTTACCTGACTGCATAGTCAAGTCCATTTTTTGTGGTTGATACATCAATGGACCGTCTTCATTTAATGGAAGAACACATTTCTGAACAAACCTCTTTCTTGCAGTTTGATTATGAATCTTTTGCGGAGAAATCTCAGGATTCCTTTCTTCTCCTAACCTTTTATTTTTCAGAAGTTCTATCAGTGTAAGTGACTGATTTTTTTTTTCATCATGCAGTACTGTTTTTGTTTCATCACATTCATTTAGGAAATTCAGCCCTTCTTCCTCTGATGCAGACACTGATATATCTTCAGTCTTTAGGCCATTACGGTATGCTTCAAGAGGTATAACATTTTGAGATAAAAAGTCATCATTTGATGCAAGTTTCTGAGCGACAAATGGTCTGGGAATAATACGGCGACTGTTCAATGCCTTTAGGATTTTTTCATATTTCTCTTCATTTTGCATCATCTCATTTAGAACACAGATAGGAGACTTGTGCGCATCCCACTTGGTTTTGCCAAGCCTTTTCAGATGTCCTCGCACGTGATTAGACAATCCAATTTTAGTATCAAACCAACCTCCACAGAGCTGGCACGTGTGTTCAGAAGAAGTTTCAGATTTCTCAATAGCTAAAAAGGAAAATAATTATTTACATTTTTTCAACCATTTTGCTCTACATAACTATGGTAAAATTTTAATAAAAAGTATAAGAAAAATGCTTTCAGAACGATTTTTATATTCAAAAGACAATTTAATCCCCCTTCATTGCACACCAAAACTAAGAAACCGTACCTTTTCTAACTCGTTTAACAGGAGTTCCTGTTCCAGTTCTTTTGAAATGTTGCATTTTGTCACTTGTTGCTATCTGCTCTGGTGAAACAACATGACGGGCTTCATAGCTTAATCCAGCTCTGTGAAGATGTCCACGGACATGATTAGATAATCCAACACCTGTTTCAAATGTTGCTGGACAGTACGGGCAAGACTTCTTCTCAAGTGACAAATCAGTCCAATGAAAAACTGAATTATGCTTTGGCAATGTCGTTCCTACATTTTCTAAGTTCTGAGGATCGTGTAAATCATGTAGGAAGTTACTACCCTCAGCATCTTCATAATACTCAAAATAAAAGCCATCATTCTGCTCATAACTAAGAGAAGATTTATCACCAGCTTCACGATCCTCCATTTTACCTTTGAATATGGGGAATAGGTTTACATGCTCCTGATTAATATCAGTGTAAGACTCATCCTCCACAGACTGTGTAGTGTAATCACATAATTCAACATTATCCCATGAACTTTCATCCTCCGTTTCATAGCTGTCTTTTTTTTCAGCAGAGTTAAGTTTCTGTAAAACAACAACAGTCATTTTATGCAGAAAATCTGGATAGCAATCCAAATCCTCTCCTGTAACAGAGCCTTCCCTCTTGGATTCTTTAACCACTCTTTTTATAGCTACATGCCTATGATCTTTATAGCCTTCTGACCTTTTGGAATCAAGCTCATGACAATCCTTGATAAAACTATTATTATGGAAACTATTTGTTGAATATAAACATAAAGAACTGACAGAGCTGGACTCTTCCTTTTTAAAATGTAAAGGATAAGAGTCACTAGATTTTTTAATCATTCTGTTGTTTTCATATTTGTGTCTACGGAAATAATTACCACTTGCTTTGACACTAGCTTTCTGCTTTGATCTTTGATGAAAATATTTAGATTTTTGGTCAACGCTATTTCTAATAAAAATAGCCTTGTTGGTAGAATTTAGATTGCACACACTTACAGCTGATTGTGAAACGCTTTTCCGAGCCTTCTGTATCCTGTGGGGCCTCTTGTGAAGTTTTGCGAAGTTACTGGATTGTGAAGTTGAGCCAAATGATCTCTTTACATCTTGTTTTAAAACAGAGTTCTTTGGAAATGTAGACGACTGTTTGATCAACTGCTTAGTTCTGCTACCAAAATCTAAAGGTTCTTCAATTACACTACTTTTCCTTTTTTCTAATTTAAGATGGCTCCCAAAAGGATCAATGCATGAAGCTGGATGCAAGTATTCCATATGTTTTTTTAAAATGCTTCTGGCAGACGTAACAAATGGGCACATCTTGCACATATATGTAGATGACTTTTTTGATGACCCTAGATATGGGTCTTTCATTGAAGTCTTTTTCTGTGTTTTCCTCTGCGATATATCACTACTGATGATTGAACACTTCACTACTGCTCCATGAGCAATACCTCTATGGCATTCCAATTCATTTTCTGTCACAGCCATGAAGTTGCACTCCTCACAACAGTAGTATCGTTTATCTTTTTCATGGGTTTTAGCATGCTGCACAAATGTTTTGGGACAATTAGTACCAAATACACACTGAGGACACTGTAAACGTGCACTTCTACCCTCATCCTGGAGTTCTTTCAACTCACGGATTTCTTCCATCAATTTTTGCCTTCTTTCTTGGTGAATTATCATATGTTTAAGAAGTGAATTCCGATCTCGAAAGGTCCGTCCACATTCCCTGCATGCATAGGGCCTCGGGACATTGAGATGACGGAAATGACTATTTCCATCTAAATGATACATCATATGCCTATGCAGGTGTTTCTTCTCCCTAAAATTCACATTGCACTTTGTACAGGGATAAAACGATGGTTCATCAGTACTGAAAGTGGATGGTGATTCTGAATCACTCTGTTCACATTTGTTTTTTAAATTATTAGAAAGAAAAGTGCTACTGTGAACAGGAGAAGTATCTTCTGCACATTTATTAGTGGGACTGTAAATCAATTGTTGGATAGCATCCACAGCTTCCAACTCCTCATCTGTTGATTCAGGCTTCACTTTTGTCAATGCATATTTCTGTGGTTCTATTACTTGTAGTTCTTCATTCTGCTCTAAAAAATCAACATTTAGTAATTTTGATTTACTGGGAACATAATTTGAATCACTAAAACAGTCCTCAGTATACCGTGTTATTTTGCTAACATCCATCTTTCTTTTTCTTTTTTTCTCTAGACCTACTTTACAGTGAATAGGAGACTTCTCTATTGTTTCTTCATTTGTCATAAGAAATTGTATGAACTCTTTCTGAGGATCCCAGTTGGGATCACTTCCCGATCTGAAACTACCTGTACCTGAGGAAACACCTGTTAACGTATTGACACAATCATCTTTTACTAGTAAACTTTTGCCATCTTCACACACTTCTACTTCACCTATTAAAGTGCTATCTACACTATTTCCTACAGATTTCTGCGTATCACAACCAACTGAAGCAGAGGTAGGTAGATTTTTAATGGAATGAGTCAGGTTCTTCGCATGTGCTACATCAGGTAACAAAAATAAAACTTGGTGCTGACTTGACTTCTGTGTTGTACTCTTTGCAGGCAGCTGAAGGTCGTGAACCACTGTCAAAGTTGAGCACGAATCTGTATGATGACCCATAGGTTGCCCAGTGGTTAATGAAGCACTGCCTTTATTCATAATAGAAGTCTTAGTTAAGGTGGAGTGTGAAACTGGTCCATTAACTGCAGTTCCTTTCGGCAACATAAAGTTTTCACTAGAAACAGTAGGAGCACCAGTATGTATAAATAGAGAAGTCTGGCCTCCGCTTAAGGCTTTTTCAGATTTGTCCCTTGATAGCTCTTCAGGCAGAGTCAATGTATCATTATTCTGAAATGACGTTTCGCTCTCTTGTGATTTAGGAATACCACCCTTTTCCTCAGAGATAAAGTTGTCATCATCTAGGAATTCTTCTTTAGCACCAGTAATTTCAGTATTTGTATTTGAATCATCCATATTGCTGATCTGTCCATTAAGTACATTTACACTAAAAAACAAAAAAATATAGCAGTTAGACATTCACAGAAATAATGGATAATGGTGGTTTTTAATTTGACTCACTATCTCTAGCAGTTTGTCATTATGATCAGAGGTTTAGAGCTATAATCTAAACAGTCATTTTGAATTTCTTAAAAACAACTGTTATCATTTAAGATATTCAAAGCAGACTGTTTCCACTTTTACTTTGAAAAAACAGATAAAGTTAATATATAAACCCTAATATTCATATATGATTGATCATGTAAGTGCTTAACTTTAAAACTTGAATATTAAACCTAGCCTCTATACCTCGAGATATAGTGTGTTGTACGACAAGGTATCAAGTTATAGGTATAATGTGTTACCGTAAGGCAGGGATGGGCAAAGTCTGGTCCATGGGCCGGATCCGGGCAGCAGTGGACTCCATTTCCCAGCAGCCCCTGCCTGCATAGCTAGGGCTGGTCTCCATGGAGACCCCAGCCACAGCTGCACTGTGATAGCGCAAGGCTGAGGCCCTCATGGAGACCAGCCCCAGCTGCGCTGGCAATGCATGGGGCAGGACAGGGGGCTGTTCTGGAGCCCTGGGATCTTGCAGCGGGGGCAGCCTGGTCCAGGGCCAGGGCAGAGCCACAATCTGCAGCCTGCACGCTTGGGGCAAGGGTGTGCAGGCAGCGGATCATGGCTCTGCCCCTGCTCAGGACCACACTGTCACCCATCGATGCAAGGAGCCAGGGTTGAGTCGCAATCCGCTACCTGCACATCCCTCCCCAGTGTGTGCAAGCTGCAGATCACAGCTGTGCACCAGCTGCTTGCAGCAGTGACAGTGTGGTCCCGAGGAGGGGCAGCACCATGATCTGCCTGCGTACCCCGGCCCTGAATGGTGTGCTGCAGTTCTGCTCTAGCCCTGGACCAAGCCACCCCTGCCACAAGATCCCAGGGTTCTGGAGCAGCGCCCTGCCCTGCCCTGACAGAGTGGCTGGGGTCAGTTTCAATGGCAACCCCAGCCTTGTGCTATATCACAGTGCAGCTGTGGCTGGGGTCTCCATGGAGACCAGCCCCAGCTGTATGGGCAGGGGCTGCTGGGAAATGGAGTCTGGCTGCCAGCCAGATCCACCATTTTGCCCACCTTTGCCCTAAGGGGAAGAAATACAAGATGACAGATGGCAACCTTCTTTGAAACTCTGGACTCAAAGTTTTTGGCCTAATCTAGTAGCCTTAATGTTGAATTATTTTCCTTTCCTTTTTTTAATATCCTACCATTGGTATTTGTTCATTAGCGGAAAAAAAAAGTATAAACAGACTTTGGCAGTTTAAAACCAACCAAGTTTAGGGTCCCAGACTACAAACAATTGTACGCTTAACTTTACTACCATGAGTATGGCCCACTAATTGCAATGGGATTACCCACAGCAGTAGATAAGGAAAGAGCCCAACTTCCCATCTCCATATCTCTTGGGTTACCCCTTTATTTACATTTTTTTTTAAATGTACCATGCTCCCTTTTAATGATCAGAACTTAAACAGCCCATTTTTTAACCAAGCAAGTGAGGACATTTGAAAGCAACTTTTAGAAGAATTTGGGGGCAGGGATGAATTTATATAGTACCTTAATTCTGATACAGCATGGAGAGTTGCATGCAGCTAGTAAGTCTGTTGTGGTGGAAGAGGAGGGAACAGGTGTAGGGGTGGCAGATCAAGACTCCCGCTGTGAGGGAGGGAGTGGGGCTGGGACAGGTACTGCCTAGCCAGGGTGTGGCAGGGTGTGGGATGGAGCCGTAGCTCATCTGGAGGAGGGGTGGGGGGGAATGTGTGCCCCTGGATCTGTGAGGGGCGGGGCGGTTGCTGCTGTGGGCTGGGGCCAGGACCGTGCCAGGCTCTTCCTGGCAGGGACTGGGCTGGGCACGGGGCGGGCAGTGGTGGCAGCACTAGGAGGGGCTACAGGAGGGGCTGCAGCCAGCCCAAAATTCACCGTAGCTCCCCCCCAATCCCCTTCGCAGTGCCACCGCTGCCCGCCCCAAGTACGGTGCAGTCCAGCCCCTGCCAGGAAGAGCCTGGTGCAGCCCCAGCCCTAGCTTGCAGT